ACCAAAAAAATCCCCGTATAAAAGATTTATAGCCAGCTATTAGTATCTTTATTTATTGGAATATTTCTTATGACCATGTTTTAAAAAATGACAAAGACACACAAACACGAGGGCTCAAGAAGTGTTCGTCCATCTTAGTCCTTGTTTTTCTAGTTTTTTCTATGAGATGAAAGAATCACATGGAAGTCAGAGATAGGATGAAAGGCTTCAGTTTAAAAGACCAAAAGAGGAAATCTAACAATACTGATTGGGAAACATGGGACGGACAGGGTTTGATCCATGTGTGAGATGCATCTTCAGCATTTCTGTGTTTGTTTGGTTATGGACGGCTCTTCTCTACCCTTTTTCTTCTTTTCAAATGGAACAATTTACAATGACAGTTCAGTTCTGCCATTTAAACACTGATTTTCACGACTATCAGGGTGTACGGATCTCTGAGTGTTGCATGCGGTCGACCGCAGATGATGGTGTGAATAAATATCAAATTACTGGGAATTTTCCTAGGAATAATGTCTGGTTGACTAGTACATACAGACAGCAGGTTCCCTAAGCCTTTGCTTTTTCACAAGAAAAAAATGTGCAAAATTTCCAGTGATTCCTGTGTGGTCAGGGCACACCGGATGGCTGTGGGTTTTGCGCTGTGTTTACATGAATTAGTGAAATGGAGACAAAATGACATCTTTTTGTTTACATGAAGACAAATAACGTATTTTACTAGGAAGGGTTTTGCTGCTGTGCTAGAAGTGTAAGTGATGCTTAAATGCTGCCACCATCTTTTCATAATCCTAACTAAGTAGCTTCAGTTTTAATTAAGAGTACAACTGGCATGAAGAAAGTGTCAGTGGTTTGAAAAATATTGGAATTATGACTGTAGTAGGTGAAAGTCCTGCTACTTAATCCATGGCTCTGACCTCCTAAAGCAAACTGTGCTGCTTTGCAATGAAAACACGATGATTCAGTAAACAACATTTTGTGAAAATCTGATGAACTGCTGTGAGCCTTGAGCAGGGAAACTGCATGGGCAGTGGTAACATACAGCTGCCTGGGGTCTGACTGTGTTTGTGTAGCTCATAAAGTATCAGCTGACATAGATGATAAGACCAGTTAAAGTGTAATGACTGTGATTTTGGCAATAATTGACTTCTCATTTTTTCAGGATGGACCAAATTTGCACGGCTCACACGTGCACTCACCAACAACCGCAACACCCTACAGCAACTGGCGCCTATTGGCAAACATGAAGTCAGCCATAAACAGTCCAGACTGGCTGAGGTGAGCACATACGTTATATGAAGAACATTTTTGCAGTTTTTTTTGCAGGTACTTAT